GGGGGGGGGTAGGATTAGAGACCCCCCTCTCCCCAATGTGTCTATGTGCCTGTGTGCCTCCCTGTCTCTCTTTCTCTCACACACCTATATATAAGGGGAGCAGCTGATGAACATCATGGTGGCTGATTGCCCAAGTCATGTATATTCCATGGGGCGAGCTAATGGCGCAGGCGCCCTGTTGCCTTGGTCGGGAGAGAGAGAGAGAGAGATCTTAGGCGCGTCTTTCCCTGTGGCTGGGAAACAGAGACAGGCGATTACTTCGGGAAAGCGGTGGAGGGTCTCTGGTTCCTTTCCCCTCTCCCCCTCCCCACCCGCCCCTTGCAGTTCCCAGTCTGGTTTTGCTGCGTGAGGTTTGGGAGAGACGGCTTTTGTGTGCGACAGTGTTTCTGATTCTCCTTGGGCCTCGCGCTGGGCATGCCGGTTTTCCAGCTCCAGCCTACCAGATCAGGAGAAACCTGATCTCCGTGCAGGGATCAGACTGAAGACTGGGAGAGGGGGAGGGGAAAGGCGCAGCCGGGCATGAGTCCGTAAATCGTGAGGATCAGTTCTGGAAGTCTCAAGGCGAGGGGAGCCCCTTAGGCATCGAGAACAAACCGTATAGGCGTGCATCGGCTCAGCTGCAAAATCTGCTCCCCCCGTGTGTGCAAACGCACACACATGTGCCCATGTGCGTGCATGTTTGCTCAGAACTCTCGCACGCGATATTGAGGGGGAAGAAGTTACGTTCAGGAGATGCTGGAGTCCGAAGGAGCGATGGGGTAGCTGGAAAACACGGCTTGAATCCCCCTAAGGCGGCCGAAGTCGGTCGGTTGCTGTCCATGGTGCTGATAAGACACTCTGTTCTTCAGTCCCTCTTCATTTTGATCAGTTTAAGAACTACAGAGGGACTTTCCTTGTTAGTTTGTCCATTTCAGCCATAAAAAGTAGCTTCTTTATCCATTCTCCAACCTCTGGAATTCTATCTTGTTTCCAACTTTGGGCATATAACATTCTTGCTGCTGTTATCATATACCACATTAATGTCCTGTTTGACAAATTAACTTCTTCCATTTTCAAGCCCAACAATAATATTTCCGGTTCTTTTTTAAATTTACATTTCATTATTTTCTCCATCTCCCCATGTATATTAGTCCAAAATAGTTTTGCTTTCTTAAAAAAAAAAGGGGGGGGAACTACAGAGGGACTTTGAATGACGAGCTATTTTAAGATGTTTAAAATAATATAAAGCAGGTTATAACATTTCAAAGGGTGAGTTATTAAGTTCATTTTCTGCTTAGAACTGAGTTCTGTTTATTGTTCGGAGAGACAGCATGAAAGGGCTTTCACCCATTACACTTATTTCTGCCACCGTCATGTGTAACTTGGCGCTTCTTCAGAAGCATCGTTTGCTATTTGTAAAGTACACTAGGCCCTCTTAATCCTCCCTGCTTAGAACATTTGTACATGGCTGGCTCAGAGATTCCTCACAAGAATGTGATGAGTTGCGCAACCTGTTATGAAGAAGAAACCACCCCAAGTTTGTTCGAAGGGACCTCTACCTGCTCAAGCAAAGGGTAGACTGATCCTGAATCAGTTCAGACTAAACAAAGAAAAAGTGAAAGGCATTGTGTCAACAACATAAAGACTAGAAACATGTTGTACATTTCCTACATGGGAATCACTTCCATGTGAGTAAAAATGTGGACACAACAGGATGATTGCACATGTGGGTATGTTCAGCAAAATACATATATGTGATAAGTTAATATCCCATATGATTCTACACACAGGTTTCATGCATTCTCTTATGTAGGAATGCATCCTGTGCGAAACACACACGCTGATCATCATGCACGTGATAAATGCATCCATGTGTGTATGAAGTAGAATAAAAACTTGTCTAATCATCTGGTGCAATAGAACAAATTCAGAGTCCAGTGGAAACTTTAAGACCAACAAAGGTTTATTCAAGGTATGAGCTTTCGCGTGCAGGCACCTTCTAAATTTGTTCTGCTGCTTCAGACCAATACGACTGACTACCTGGATCCATCTGGTGCAGTGATTTCCACATGGGTTTCATGCTTTCTCCTTCATGGACGTACTTCCCAGAATTGCAAAGCAACCTGTGTTACTGACACATACACAGCAGCCCACTTCATGCTACAGGTGAAACAGACTGAGGGGAAAAAATAGATACATGTACTTAAAAAAACAGCAACATCTACATGCATATACCAGATTAACCTCGTGGTACCTTGGCTATAGGGGTGGCTCAGAGGTTAAGACGCTGAAGCTGCAGACTGGAAGGTCTGTAGCTCGGCAGTTCAAGACCCTAGGGCCGCGTGACGGAGTGAGCTCCCGTCTCTGGCCCCGGCTCCTGCCAACCTAGCAGTTCAAAAACAAGAAATTGAAAATAGATAAATTGGTACCACTTCGGTGGGAAGGTAGCAGCATTCCATGTGCCTCGGCATTTAGTCATGCTGGCCACATGACCACGGAAACATCTTCAGACAGCGCTGGCTCTTCGGCTTGGAAATGGAGATTAGCACCACCCCCTAGAGTTGGATTCGACTAGCTTTTGAGCAACGGAAACCTTTACCTTTACTTTGGCTCTAATTTGTTCTTTTCAACTGATTTCCCCAAAAAAGTTGTAAGCTGATTTCAAAAAGTGAAAGATCAGGATCTGGCTAGATGAACATAAGATGATCCAACATGGCTCTTCTTATGTTCTGATATTCAACTAGGCACAGCCTGTTCCTCTATGCTTTTGGGAATCGTGTTACAATTTCTTTTTAATTTTAAAAAAACTGCAAGAAGTTGGAATTTACAGCTGAGCTTTGTTTTCAAGTTACTGGTTATACAGAGTCTGTATTATTTGCTTGGACTGGTTATCTCCCTTATATATAATAGCTGAATGGTGGTGGCACTTCTCTAGAACATTCCACATGCTCCAAAATCAGTTCGCTCTCTGATCTGTCATTCAGAGGGTCTCCCTATCCACTGGCTGCTTTGCCTGAGTCCTGAGTCCTGCCTCCAACATTCCTCTCCCCCATAGCCAGTGGGAACACAGAGGTATTTGCATATGCAGCCTCATTGGCCTTTGCCTCAGAACACAGAGGTTGTTTGCATATGCGACTTGATTGGCTTTTGCCTCTAACATTCTAAACAGTTTTGCTCTTCTGAGGTAAAATGTGTCCAATCTCCAGGTGAGGGCTGGAGATCACTCAGAATTACAACTGCTTTCCAGATGGCAGAGATCAGTTCCCCTGGAGAAAATGGTGGGCTCTGTATCCTTATATGCTGCTGAGGTGGCCCCCGTATGACAGCCAATGTGACGTAGCAGTCAGGGCTTCAGAGCATGGGAGAGGCTGCAGGTGTGTGGGGGGGTGGAAAGCTGAAGAGTGAGGGGGAAATAAAGGTAGGTTGATGATTGGCTGGGAAGGAGATAGGGTTGCCAACTCCAGGTGGGAAATTTCTGGAGATGTGAGGGATGGAGCCTGGAGAGGGTGAGGATTCAGGAGGTGTGGGACCTCGGACAGGTACAAAGCCATAGACTCCACCCTCCAAACCAACTATTCCCTTCTGGGGAACCATCGTTGCCAATCTCCAGGTGAGGACTGGAGATCACTCAAAATTACAACTGTTCTTTAGGTAGCAGAGATCAGTTCCTCTGGAAAAAATGGTGGACTCAATGTCATTATACCCTGCTGAGGTCGCCACAGCAAATTGACACTGAGTGTCCAAGGCCGGGGCACCCGCCCAGAGCCTCTTTCTAGAGGCCGTTGTATTTATTTCCACAACGGGCCTTTTTCCTAGTATTTACATATTGTGATTTATTTCTACTTGTAGTTTTTGATACTGTAAGTCACTTGGAGTTTCCATTAAGAAGGAAAGGCAATATAGAACTTGAAAAAATGTAATAGTTTCTCAGTCCTTATTCTTCTTATCCCTATGATAGCTAAGATCAAGATGGGTAGCCATGTTTGTTTGTAGCAGGAGAAAAGAGCAAGAGTCCAGTAGCACCTTAAACACTAACAAAATATGTGGCAGGGGAGGAGCTTTTGTGAGTCACTGCTCACTTCTTCAGATACATACAGCTTGAATGGGAGTCCATCTGTCCTATTTATTAAAAAGTGGAGTGATTTCAGATGACGAATGACATTAGCAGGCAAATAACAATAGCAGGTGAATAACAACAGCAGGCATGATTGGATTAAGGTGAGGTATGCAGAGGGGTAATAGGCGTGGAGAAATCAGCATTGGTAATGAGACAGTAAACCAGGTCTCAATTCAATCCAGGTGGATGCATTGTCTTGAGCTTCATGATCAGTTGCAATTCAGCAGTCTCTCTAATCTCCCTTTGAATTTTTTTTGTAAGAGAACTGCTACTTTTAGGTCAGCAACTGAATGTCCTGGAAGGTTAAAATCTCCCCCCACTGGTTTTTGAACATTGTGGTTCCTAATGTCAGCCTTATATGATAGCTTAGCTTGCTTGAGGAAGCTCTTTCCACAATTATTCTCTGCATTTAGTTAGAAATGAGTTTAATTTAAATCAGAATCCTGAGGCATCTTTTGAAACCACTTGGTTTACTGAGCCTAGATTTTTCTGGGTAAAGCTTATGGAACAATAAATCAGTGATTTTTAACCTTTCTAGACTTGGAACCCACTGAGCTGCAAGCATGTGACAGGAAGTCAGAGTCGCATGCCAGGAAAAG